CCCCAAAACCCCAAAACCCCATTCAACTGCTGTAATGATTAAGCAGTGAGTTGTATAATATAAATCAAGCTAAAATTTAATATATTCTTTCAAATGATTTCATAAATTAGTATAGTAAGTCTTTTTATCAAATTCATGTTAAAAAAAAGTTTTATACTTTGATATAAAGGGTCTTCATCTTCTTACTAATCAATCAAAATTCAAGTTTCCCCCCACTGATCTGAGTTGAGTCTCTTAACTCTGAGTATTCTTTATTTTAGGCATTTGATTGACTTTATGTGCTGAGATCTGTTGAGCCAATTAATGATTAGGGTTTCAATCTTCTTAATTCTTCCTTTATAAAATATGAACAGAGGGCTCCAACACAGCAACTTGTTAAAAATACCCCGATAACAATCAAAGGACCTGTTTAGCCATCTAACGAACTTATAAATGATGAAATTGCACCCTAAATTATAGTAAAAATAAAGCAAAAAAATATTACAAGACTAAATCCAAAGATTTATGAGACCATAATCATCATTCCGTTAGAAATAGATTCTGGGACCGGGTAAGTCAGTTCAACAGCAAATGCATAACTTGTAGGAATAATTGGGATGACGAAAAATCCTATGCAGGCAAGATTGACTGAAAAGAGAACCACATTCTCTGATTAAAGAGTCCAAAAAGCTAGTGAAATAAAGCAACATGCCAGAGTAGATGTTAAGCACACAATAAACTTATACTTAGCTGTTTTATCAAGCATTACACCAAAAAAGAATGAGCCAACGACACCAAAGAATATGAAAGTAGCTCCAAAAATACTATTGTCAACAGCATTAAATCCAAATGGTGTAGTAACTGAGCTGACTACTGCTCCGAGAGAAGTATAAATGCCATAGAGGAATGTGAAGGTACCCGATAATAGCAAATAGCTTTTATTAGATACAAGATTCTTGATTTCTTTTCCAAATTACAATTTTGGTTCTATTCTCATTGCAGATAACCTAATAACTATTATTATTTTGAATTTCATTACGATGGTGGGTTCTTAGGCTTATCCTTTGCAGTCAGTAAAATTGGGATGCTAAGAATTGTTACCATTATGTTTTAAACTAGCAAGTACTCCATAAAAGCATCTTTTTGATTTCCATCTCCTCCAAGGAAAAATGCTGGGACAACAAAACCCATCACACAGCCTATTGGAAGAGATAATCCTCCCAAAGCAGTGGCTAAGGCTCTCTAAAATTATAAACATAAGTACACATACTTCATTATCACCAAACCATGTTGATGCCAACTTGCTACCTGTATTGATATAGAATACTTAAGCGAAAGAGCATAGAATTGTTCCCAAAAATACAACATTAAAGTTAGGTATAACTTATACTAATTATCTTAACCATACACCAGCAATTGACATCACTGAGCCAATTAATAACTAAAAAGTAAATTGTTAAGATATTGGTTTCTTACACAAGCTCTTAACCCATATTTGTCAAGACAATGAATAACAATGAAATTGGCAGGAATAAACATTATAAGGAACATAAGACATTGGGCATCTACTATGAACTTATCACATTTGAAAGCGTCAGCAATGATTGAGGCTACTGGACTGAAACCCACCATAATGAATCCATTTGACAATAGACCCATTGTAAAAAATATTTGAATCCACCACCTCATTGGATCAAGTATAAATTGCTAATTTATGGAGACTGTCATGTCCTCTGACTTAGTTTGAATTAGAAATTTGTTGTTTAATAGCAGCTACTCCTCTTCTATTTCAGAGTCTCGTATCATATTTTATGCTAAGCTATGTTAATAGGGAAATGTCCTTACATTTATTGATTTTGAGGTCTAAACTCAAACTTTAATCTTCTTGCGGATTCACTTACATCTTATGAGTTATATAATTATATTTTTAGATTTTAATTAATGTTTTAAGTTTAAATAGTTCTGCTAATCACAGTTGCTTTCACATAATTATAAATAATATCACTTAGATTATCTGAATATTAATCTTAACAGAAATCAATTCTGGCAGCATGCCAATTCCTCAGACAGCTATTTCTATTCTTATTTCAATCTTTTTAGTCTCTGCTCTAAGGAATCTTACTCCTCTATCACTTAAGATAACTTAGTCAAAAGGAATTTACGCTTTGATCCAACTAACTTTTGATTCTTATCATTTTACTCCTATCCTGATCTAGCTTATTATTCCTGTATATTATCATTTTTATCATGAGATTTTCTTCGAACCATTTCATCTTTCATTTAATCAAAGAAATTGATTTTTTCATCAGCTCTAACTTGGTTTTAGCTCATGATTCTGTGTTAATTTGGCTGATCTCTCTCATTATAATCTTACTATCCATTTTTTTCTATTGGTATGATTACATTTTTCTAGCTTTAAATGTTGGCTGCTGCATATTATTGCAATAACTCTTACTATCTCTATAGTTCCTTCAAATCTTTAATTAGATTCTGAGCTGTTTCCTATGGGTTTTCTGTGATTTATTCATTATTGACCTCTTTCTCAACTTGGGCTCTGATTTGAATTTACTCAATTTGCTATTCTTAAACCATATTCTGGGAATAAGGTTGATTTTCATTCTAATCTTGTTGCATCTTTTCATCTTTCCAAAATTTCATGATATACTTCTTTATCTTAGCTACAATTGTCCTCTTTTTTTCATCATTAGGGTCATGGAATTTCGCTCTTAGCTGCTGCCTTGCTTGCTCTCTGTTAAAGCCACAGTTATAAAGTCGACGTGCCATTTCTGGAAGAGTTTCATCGGCCTGTTATCTCACTTATCGCTGCATTTGTAATAAATAAAATTTCAATTTCTGTCTAAATTGATGAATTCTAATACACTGGGGTTTTGGGGTTTTGGGGTTTTGGGG